CAAATAAGTAAATAAAATCTTTAAAAAATAATAAATAAAAGCATACATTAAAAAAAAAGTTCTCAGGGCACCTGGGTGGCTCAGTCAGCTAAGTGTCCAACTCTTGATCTCAGCTCAGGTCTTGATCTCAGGGTCCTGAGTTCAAGCTCCCACACTTGGCTCCATGCTGGATGGGGAGCCTATTTAAAAAATAATAATAATTGGGGTGCCTGGGTGGCTCAGATGGTTAAGCGTCTGCCTTCGGCTCAGGTCATGATCCCAGGGTCCTGGGATTGAGCCCCACGTCAGGCTCCTGGCTCAGCAGGGAGCTTGCTTCTCCCTCTGCCTCTGCCTCTCTCCCTGCTCATGATCTCTCTTATCTCTGTGTCTCAAATGAATAAATAAAATCTTTAAAAAAAATTAATTAATCTTTAAAAGTTCTCAATCAATAACCTAACTGTATACTTTAAAGAAAAGAGTGCCTGAGTGGCTCAGTTAGTTAAGCATCTAACTCTTGATTTTGGCTCAGGTCAGGTCATGATCTCAGGGTTGTAAGATCAAGCCCCATGTTGGGCTCCACACTGAGTGTGGAGTCTGCTTAAGATTCCTCTCTCCCTCTCCCTCTGTCCCTCCCCACCAACACACACACATGATCACTCTCTCAAAAAAAAAAAAAAAAGGAAAAAAGAGAGAGAAAGAAAAAATAAACCAGGAAAAAAAGCAATCTAAATACAAGATAATAGAAAAAAGATTAATGGTAAAGATCAGAGTTGAAATAATGAGCTAGAAAATATAAAGAAAATCAACAAAACTTCAAGTTAGCTCACTGAAAAGATCAACAATATTGACAAACTTTTAGTTAAATAAGACAAACTTAGCTAAATAAGTAGAGAAAATTCAAATTATTAAAAACCAGAAATGAATGTAGGGCCACTGTGACCACCCTTACAGAAATAAAAAGGATTATATGAGAATACTATGAATTGTATGCCAACAAATTAGATAACCTTGATGAAATGGACAAATTCCTAGAAACACACAATCTACCACTGACTCATTAAGGAGAAAATCTGAATAGATTAATAACTAGTAAGAAGACTATATCAATTATCAAAAACCTCCCAACAAAGAATGAAGAAAAAAACCCATTTGATCTTTTCAAGTGATACAAAAAAAGCTTTTGACAAAACTTCGGTTTCTTAGGACACCTGGATGGCTCAGTTGGTGAAGCGTCTGCCTTGGGCTCAGGTCATGATCCCAGGGTTCTAGGATTGAGTCCTGCATCAGGCTCCTTGCTCAGCAGGGAGGCTGCTTCTCCCGCTGCCTGTTGCTCCCCCTGCTTGTGCTCTTTTTCTCTGACAGATAAATAAAATCTTTTAAAACAAAGCAAAACAAAACAACTTCACGGTTTCTTGATAAAAGCACTCAATAAACTAGAAATAAAAGGAAATTTCCTCAGTATAATGAAAATTATATAGAGAAACCTAATGTAATACATAATGGTAAAGACTGAAGGCTTTAAGATCAGGAACAAGTAAAGGATGCTCACTTTTGCCATGTCTATTCAACAAAGTACTAGAAATTCTAGCCAGAGCAATTAGGCAAGGAAAATAAATACAAGGCACCCAAGTTGGAAAAGAAGTAAAACTATCTCTGTTCACAGATGACATGATCTTATATGAGGAAACCCTAAAGGGTGCACACACCAAAAATAAAACAAAACAAAAACAAGCAAAACAAAATCGTAGGAAGAAACTAACTCAACAAACTAGCTGTATACGAAATCAAGGCATAAAAATTAGTTGCATTTCTATGCATTAAAAATAAACTATCCAAAAAAAAAAAGAAATTAAGAAAACAATTGCATTCACAATAGCATTACAGTAAATAAAATACTTAGGAATAAATTTAACCAAGGAGGCAAAGAACTTGTACACTGAAAACCAGAAATGATCACTATCAAAGAACATATAAACAAATGTACACCCCATACTCATGAAGACCTGATAGGATTAATATGACAATACCACCCTGATTCACAGATCCATCGCAATCCCTATCAAAAGCTGTGATTTTGCAGAAACAGAAAACCCCAACCTAAAATTCATATGGAATCCCAGATAGGGATCCCAAATAGCCAAAATAATCTTGAATAAGTATAGAGTTGAAGGACTCCCTTCCTGATTTCTGAACTTCCTATAAAACTACAGTGACAGTATGGTGGTGACATAAGGATAGGCATATACATGAATAGAATAGAACCCAAAAAGAAACCCCTACATCTATGGTCAATTGATTTTAGGGAAGGGTGCCAAGACCATTTATGAACTGTTTATAGTCCCCCCACCCCCCCCCACACCCCACCACTCATTATGTTGAAGCTCTAACTCAATGTGACTGTACTGGAGATAGGGCCTGTCAACTGTTGATAAAGGTTAAATGAGATCATAAAGGTGGGGCCCTAATCTGATAGGGCTAGTGCCCTTATAAAAGGAAGAGACATCTGAGATCTTCTACTCTACCATGTGAAGACTCAGTGAGAAGGCAGCTGTATTTAAGCCAGGAAGAGAACCCCCACTAGGGCTGAATCAGCCTACACCTTGATCTTGGACTTAGTTTCCAGAACTATGAGAGATTTGTTTCTTTTGATAAATTTGTTTTTTAAGCCACCAGGTCTGTGGTATTTTTTTGGCACCTGAGCCAATCCAGGCATACCTCGTTTTATTGTGCTTTGCTTTATTGTGTTTCTTACAAATTGAAGATGTGTGGTAATCCTATGGTAAGCCAGTCTATTGGCATTATTTTTCCAACAGCTTTTATTCACTTTGTGTCTGTCACATTTTGGTAATTCTCTCAATACTTCAAATTTTTTCATTATTATATTTGTTATGGGAATCTGTGATCAGTGATTATGACTTCCTGAAAGCTCAGATGACAGAGAGCATTTTTTAGAAATAAAGTGTTTAAATTAAGGTTTATACAGTTTTCTTAGACATAATGCTATTGCACACTTAGTACACCATAATGTAAACATAACTTCGCTTTACTGAGACATCTGCTTTATCACAGTGGGTCTGAAACTGAACACACAGTATCTCTGAGGTGTGCCTATACTATTCAATGGGGAGAACAGTCTTTTCAAAAAATGTTGTAGGGAAAATTGGATGCAAAAGAAGTTGGACCGTTACCTTATACAATATATAAAAATTAGCTTAAAATGGATCAAAAACCAAAACCTAAGACCTAAAGCTATAAAACTCAGAAAAAAACACAGGCGCAAATCTTCCTAAGCTTGGATTTAGCAATGATTTCTTGGTTATGATATCCAAAGCACAGGCAAGAAAAGAAAAGAAAAACTCAACTTCATAAAAATTAAAAATTTTTGTGCATCAAAGGACATGAACGAGAGAGTAGAAAGAATTCACAGAATGAGAGCAAATATTTGCAGATCTGATAAAGAATTACTATGCAAAATATACAAAGAACTCCTATACCTCAACACTTTAAAAAAACAAAACAAAACACAAAGAACCCAATTCAAAAATGGGCAAAGGACTTGGACAGACATTTCTCTAAAGAAGACATACAGATGGTCAATAAGTGCCTGAAAAGCTGTTCAACATCATTGGTCATCAGGGAAATGCAAACCAAAACCACAATGAGATACCACTTCACACCCATTAAAATGGACATTATTTTTTTTTAAATGGGAAATAACAAGTGTTGGCAAGAAAATTAGAACCCTCTATTCATGGCTGATGGGGATGTAAAATGGTACAGCCACTGTGGAGAAGTTTGACTGTTCCTCAAAAAGTTAAACATAGAGTTACCATATGACCCAGCAATTTCACTCCCAGAAGTATACCCAGAAGTATTGAAAGTAAGGATCCACAGGACGCTTGGGTGGCTCAGTTAAACATCCAACTGTTGATTTCAGCTCAGATCATGATCTTGGGGTCGTGAGATCGAGCCCCACATCGGACTCTGTGCTGGATGTGGAGCCTGCTTAAGATTCTCTCTCCCGCTCCCTCTGCCACTAGGTCCCCAACCATTGCTCATGCACTCTCTCCCACCACCCCAAAAAAGGATCCAAAAAGATACTTGTACACCCACTCACAGCAGCAGTATGCGCAACAGCCAAAAAGCAGAAACACCCAAGTGTCCATCAACAGATGAGTGGATAAGCAAAACATGGTATCTACAAACAAGGTCATTTCTTTCAGCCATAAAAAAGAATGACATTCTGATACAGGCTACAAAATGCATGAACCTTGAGAACATCATGCAAAGTGAAATAAGTCAGCTATAAAGGGCAAATATTGTACTCCACTTATGAGAAAACTAGAATAGGCAAATTCACAGACAGAAAATAGAACGGAGATTGTCAGCAGATGTGAGACAAAGGGGAAAAGGAGAGTTATTTTTAATGGGTACAGATTTTCTGTTTCAGATAATAAAACAGTGGTGATGGTTATACAACATTGTAAATGTATTTAATGCCACTGAACTATACACCTAAAAATAGTTAAAATAGTAAGTTTTGTTATGTATATTTTACAATAAAAATGGCAATTATCAACTCTATTATAAAGACACACAAAAAAGTATGACTGTTAAATTTTTAAATTTACAATTTGTAAAGATATGTAAATATGTAGAATTCTTTCCAGTGTTTTCTAGGATTGAGGAAATAGCAAAGGCAAAAGATCCTATGTCCTGCAATGACAAGCACACGGTACTTTCTTTTTTAAAATGCTCTTAACTATGTGTGAAAGGAAGCGTATATTAAATCAACAGTGATGGATTCTTTTTCTAAGTGGGGGAGAACTACTTTTTGCTTACCTCTCTCAATTTCTCCAAAATGAGCATGCACTGCTTTTGGTTTAAGAAGAGTTTTGTTTGTTTGTTTTTAATTAGAAATGCCCTTCATCTGTAACAACACTGTGTGGACAATAAATAAAGGGGTGGGGTGGGTCATAAGGAGGAATTGCACGGCGGAACTCATGGGCCCTTCTCCACGGTCACCTTGAGAAGTCTTCCCGGAGGTGAATCCTCTGATGCTGGCACATGTTGGAACTGTGCCGGAAGGCCTTCCCACACTTGCTACACTTGTAGGGCTTCTCTCCAGTGTGGATCCTCCGGTGCTGGATGAGGTAAGTACCCTGGCTAAAGGCTTTCTTGCAATCGCTGCATTTGTACGGCTTCTCCCCATGGTGCGACCTTTGGTGGTGGATGAGTCTGGAACTGTTGTGGAAGGCTTTCCCACACTCACTACACTTGTACGGCTTCTCTCCTGTGTGGATCCTCTGATGCTGGATAAGGTGTGTGCTCTGGCTGAAGACTTTGCCACAGTCATTACATTCATAGGGCTTCTCTCCAGTGTGGCTTCTCTGATGTTCAACAAGTTTGGTTTTTTGGATGAAGGCTTTCTCACATTCATTACATTTATAGGGTTTCTCCCCAGTGTGAATTCTTTGATGTTGGATAAGGTTAGAACTTTGGGTAAAGCCTTTGCCACATTCTTTACACTCAAATGGCTTCTCCCCAGTATGGGTCCGACGATGTCGGATAAGGATTGAGCCGTCACTGAAGGCTTTCCCACAGTCGTTGCACTTATAGGGTTTCTCTCCAGTGTGGATTCTCTGGTGATAAATAAGGGACGAATAGGCACTGAAGTGTTTCCCACAATCACCACACTTATAGGGCTTCTCCCCGGTGTGAATCCTCTGATGTTTCATGAGGTTGGGCCTCTGGTTGAATGTCTTCCCGCACTCACCGCATCGGTAGGGGATCTCCCCTGAGTGCATCCTTCGGTGATTGATGAACTCGCAGCTCTGGCTGAAGGCTTTCCCACACTCGTCACACTTGTAGGGCTTCTCTTCACTATGAAGCCGCTGGTGTTTGACAAGGTTAGCACTGTACCTGAAGGCTTTCCCACAGTAACCACAATAATGCAATTTTTTCCCAAGAGGAATTTTCTGATCGTCTTTAACAACTAAATTTGCACTGAAGAATTCCCCAGAATCATGGACTGTATTTGTCTTTTTTGACCTGTGTACTCGCTTATGGTTATTAAGGTATGATCTCTGTTCAAAACTTTGTTCACATATATCGCATTTGTGAGGTCTCTGATCAGAGATAGGGCTTGACCGAAACCTGAGGCTTCCCCCAGACCCCTGGACACTATCCTCATTGGTCAATGTGACTGGCCTCAGGCCTCTCTGCTCCACAAGCTTGTCCAGGCTCTCCTCTGGCTCCCAGACACATGCATGGGTCTCTCCAGGATCAGGTCCCTGGGGAACAGCCCTCTGGAGTTGATCCAGTTCTTCCCCGTCAAGCATCTCCCCTGAAGACAACTCCTTGTACTCAGTCCTGGTCCCATGACCTGGAACAACGAACACAACATCTTAGGACCACCTGTTCTGACCTGAGAAGGAATATATGGAGATGCTGCTGACTACCTGTACAGTACCAATTCCATCATCTCCAAAGTCACAACGCCTTACAGAGATGAGAGCGGGCAGCTCAGAGGCTTAAAGACCTCACCCAAGGCTGCAATCTTGCAGCAGTGCAAGTATTTCAACCCAGGCCTGACCAATTCTTCCTGCCTGCCTTCTGCCTAAGTGGGACTGTAGGATTCCAGTCCTCACTAGAAAAGGAAAGAAGACAGAGTTTTGTACCACCAGAGGGGCCCTGAAAGTCACGGAGGACATCTGACAGACAAAAAAGTGAACCTAAGGCCACCTAACAACAGCTAATCCACCCTAAAATCCATGGTAGGAAAATCAGCTGCCTCCTCAGAACAGCAGAGGGCCAACGTTGTGCCAACCATGGACAGAAGGGCATACCGTGACCCTCAGCTCTCCCTAGCAAGCTGAACCCATTCTTTGGGCTTTTCTCAGAGGCCTGAGAGGCAACCCAGTTAGCCACCAGCCCCTTAAACTCAGGATGCCATACAGAATGCTTCCTGATACCCTCAAGCCTCCATTCCTTACTTCTTGCCTAGACATTCACACATCAACTCCACCTGCAGAAACACACCACCAGAAATGCATTCTCTGTGAGGAAGAGAAACAGTCACAACAATCCCAAAATGGGGACAACCAAATATTAACAAAAATGGAAAATAATTTGTGGTATATTCATATGATAAAACACCGTATGGCAATGGAATAGAACATACTTTGTACAACATGGCAGCCCTCACAACATTCAGATGCCCCAAATGAGACCAGACACAGAGCTAAGAGGCGGAGTGGCCTCCAGAAGTCAGAGAGAAGGACCCTGTGAGTAGCAGTGGGAAATGACAGAGAAGGCCCAGTGGGTTCCCAGGGAACTAGAAATGTTCTGCATTTTGATTTGGAAGATGGTTTTTATAAAAATTCACTGAGTTATAAACTTAGGATTTATCCTGATATCCTACTGATATCTGAATAAACAAATTTACAAAAGAGAAATTCAAGTCCTTTAGCCAGTAGATGCTTCTTAGGACATTATCAAGACGTGCAAAATAATGCTTATCAGAGTTGTCCACAGCAGTGAAACTAGACAGCACCCTTCCCACTGGCACTTCCAGCAAAAGTGGTGACTGAGACTCACGTGTATAAAAATGGACACTCACTGAGTGAAAAAAGAGATGAGATGACAGCAGTACACATAGGCTCACTGCATTCCTGTCAAGAAGTGGCCTTCGTATATGGGTGTAGAACAGAGAGCACTAGAAAGGGGAGAGCAGGCACACGACAGAACACACTGGTATGTGGGTGATGAGATATTCTTTCTTGTAATGGTCTGTAATTGTCAAGTGGGTAACTTAGAAAAGGAGAATGAAGCAATGGTCTCTATCACCATGGCCCCATCTGACCCTCCTCACAGGGCATGAGCTCTGAAGGGCAGGGCTCCATGGGGTCCTGGGGGTCCAGCCTTCCCTCCTCTCCTCTGCCAACAACGCCCCCTCTTAGCCTCCTAGAAGATTCAGCTCAAAAATCACCACACTGAGGCACCCAGGCTGATGGAGGTGACCTGGACTTCAGCACAGGCTACTCCTAGGGTTGTCATGCTGCCCCTGATACACCTTGTTCTAAATGCCTGAGTCATTAACCGCACATCTTGGACCCTAACAAATGCTTATTCAGCAACTGTTAGGGAAGTGGCCCCCCTCACGCACCTGAGATACTGACTCTCAGTCGCTCTTTCCCCTTGGCGCCCTGTGCATCCAGGACCCACGGCTCATCCCCTCGCTCCAACTGTGTGATCACCCCAGGCTTGGGACCTGCAGGTCCAGCTCCTGGGAAGAAAACGGGGCCTAGGGTTGGTCCCAAGGATGCAGGGCTGCACTGAGTGGATTCTCATCTGGAACTGTGGTGGGAAGCAGAACCACAGGCAAAGTGGGGTGATGGGAAGTCTGGACACTCTGGAGGGTTGGGGATGGTCATGAAGATGAGATCTGAGCACAGGGAACAAGAGCCCAGGGGGCTCTCTCCACCTGGAGGTACACAATCCCTCCTGAGAGGGGTCTGTCTTGGGCCTGGGGCAGGGAGGCCATCTTATCTGGGAGCTCAGAGGAGAGAATCACTGACCCAGCCCCACTTGGCCCCTCCTCTGTATAGACCAGGACTGCCTAGGACCAGAGGGTGAAGCCCCCAGCCCAGCCCCTGCTGAACCATCAGTCCCCAGGGCTGTTCCCTGACCAGCATCCTACTGAGGGGCCTTACCCAGGGAGACCAGATTCCTGTAGGTCTCCAGCATCACGTCCCTGTAGAGGCCCCTCTGAGCAGGGCTCAGACGGCCCCACTCCTCCCGGGAGAATAGCACGGCCACGTCCTCAAAGGTCACCTCAGCCTGGAATGACAAGGGCTGCTGCAGGCCCAGGTGTGGCTCAGGGTGGGCCCTGGGGGTGGGAGTAGCAGAAGCATACCAGGAGTAGTAGCACAGGGGTGACTACAGGCGTGATCCCCCAGTACGGCCCAGGGGAGTGGCCTGAGCCCCTGGTCACTAAGCCAGTAACTCCAGAAGGCTAGGGGAGTCCCAGGGTCACCAATCCTCTGCTCAATACCCCAGACCAAGATGCCTGACAGTGTCTACTAAGGCAGAGCAAGCAGGGAAGCCCTATGTGGAGATTTCAGACCTCTCAGGGAAAATGGATGCTCACCTGGGGCAGGGCAGACAGGTGCAAAGCCGCCATCACCTGGTACCCTGGACTTCCCAGGGGAGGAGTCAGCAGTGAGTCACACTGGTGCTGAGGGAAGAGAGAGGAACACATGGAGGCCCAACCTGGCCCCTCCTGAGGGCAACTTCAGGGCCACACTCATCCCCATCGGGGCACAGCTGGTCTCCCAGGCAGACTCCGCTCCCTGCCTGGGGCTGTCCTGCCCTACCCTGCCCCCACTGCAGGTACAGGTGCCCAACTCTTCAGGTCATCTGTTCCCCTCAACCTGACACACCAAGCTGTCTCATTCAGGAGGAAGATGGCGATACTCACTCACTTTATATGAAAGAATAAAGACAACTTGTTAAGTGTTGAGGAGAAAAAGAAGTAAAAAACAAACAAACAAACAAACAAAAAAACAATAGAAGGTACAGAACAAAGTCAAAGTATAGATGGTAAAATATACAACACTATAGAAACAAGCTCAGTAGCTGAGTAACGGTAAGAAATAAAAGGATTAAACTCACCTACTAGAAGCACAAGATTCTCTGACAGATACACAAAATGCACCTGCATAACCTAAAATAAAGTAACACAGAAAGGCTGAATATAAGCTAGACCACACAAACGCTAATTAAAATAAAAAGTAGCTATATACCTTTTTTCTTTTTTTTTTTTTAAAGGTTTGATTTATTCATTTAAGAGACAGAGAGAGAAACTACATGCATGCACGAGCCGGGGGAGGGGCAGAGGGAGAGAGAAGCAGACTCCCCACTGAGCAGGGAGCCAGATGTGGGGCTCAATCTCAGGACCCCAGGATCATGACTTGAGCTGAAGGCAGAGGCTTAACCAACTGAGCCACCCAGGCGCCCCTACATTTTCGTTACCTTTAATGCTCTTTACTGAAATATGACATTTATGCAGAAGAGTCGACAAATCCTGACCACACAGATCAAGGGGCAGTCACAAAGGGCCTGTGCCCACAGAACCAGCACCCATGTCAGCCCTCCTGCCCCTGCAGGCTCTACTTCCTTCCTGAACTCCCAAAGATGAGCCTGCATCCTGACTTCCACCAGCTGTGCTTCTGGTGAACTTTATCAAAGCAAATATGCTGTCTACACTCCTCTGGCTTTTTCCCTTCATCGTGATGCTTCTGAGCTTAAATATGCATTGCTATGTGTGGTTTAGCAGTATTTATACCAATCAAAACAGAACAGAAAGTAAAAATCATAAATAGGAACAAAAATGAATAATACATATCAATAAAAGGAAAATCCACCCAGAAGCTGTAATTACAGACAAGTGTGTATCTACCAAGAAACTCAAAATGTAGAAAGCCAATGCTAACTGAAGTAGCAAAGAGCAACTGGCAAACCTCCCCTGGAATGAGAGATTTCAACACACTTCCCTCAGAAACAAGTGGAACAAGTAGAGAATAGTTACTCGAAACATAGAGAATACACATTTTTCCAGATATATATTCAAAACTATTAAGAAAACACCACAAACCACGCAACAATGAAAGTTTCAACAAATTCCAAAGACTGATACCATTTAGCAAAACATTCTCTCACCACTGCTGTTATTCTGGAAATATATGATAAAAAAGTACCACCTCAGGGGAGCCTGGGTGGCTCAGTCGGTGAAGCGTCTGCCTTTGGCTCAGGTCATGATCTCAGGGTCCTGGAATGGAGCCCCAAGTCAGGCTCCTTGCTCAGCGAGGATTCTGCTTCTCCCTCTCCCTCTGCCCTTCCCCCCACTCATGCATGCTCTCAAATAAATATATAAAATCTTTAAAAAAAATAATACAAAGTACCCCCTCCAAGAAAAACACAGAAATGGAAACAGAGGCTACCTAAGGAAAAATGTGCCTTCTTAGTGCCCTTATTTTAGCACAAGAGAGACTGAAATAAATGATCTAAACATTCAATAAGAAATTAGACACAAAGAAAAATGATTCAAGAAAAGATGGAGGAAAATAAAGAATACTTGATTTAAAGAAACAGAACATAATCTCAACACTGCTAATAAAACACACAAACATCTGGCAAGTCCAATGGGGGGGTGGGCAGAAAAGAGATGGAAAAAGAAATATTAAGAACAAAAAAGGGGACATAATTCTACATACCATACATGCAGCAACAGTTATCAGAGTGCAGTCCAAGACCCTGGGGACAAAATGATAAAACTTTATTGAAGGACATCAAGAAGACTTATGGAGAAACAGTGTTCATAAATAGGAGAACTCAGTATCATAAAAATGTCAATTCTCGGGACACCTGGGTGGCTCAGTCGTTAAGCATCTGCCTTCGGCTCAGGTCATGATCCCAGGGTCCTGGGATCGAGTCCCGCATCCAGCTTCTTGCTTGGCGAGGTGCCTGCTTCTCCCTCTGCCTACTGCTCCCCCTGCTTGTGCGCTCGATCTCTCTCTCTCTCCCTCTCTCACTTGCAAATAAATAAAATCTTAAAAAAAAAGTCAATTCTCCCCAAATAAATCTATTAATTCTGTACAATCAAAATTATAACAGGACATAACACGAAATCTGACCAAAATGACTCAATATCATAATAATGATCCAAGATTAACTAAGGCAATGCCAAAAAAGAAATAAGGTAGGCAGAGGCATGCCCTACCACATACCAAGATTTACTGTAAGGCTATGGTAATAAAAGTGAGGTTTAAGCACAGTAAAGAAAATAAGGAACAGATCCATGTATATGTTAACGACATAATGGCATGCTATTCAAAATGGTACCAACACAACTGATTTTCCATAGGAAAGTAAAATTCAATCACTGCCTTCTATGGCACACAAAAATATATTTTAAGCACATTGAAGACCAAAGTGTTTAAAATAAAATTTATAGCTGTTATAAGAAAATAGTATGCAAAATACAGTACATCAAGGAAAAATTGTTTAATTTTACTCCAAAAATTTCTGTATAAGACACCACAATATTAAAAGACAAGCTGCAGAGTGAACGATATTTGCAAACCCACTTAATACATAAAAAAATATATAAAATATGTTTTAAAGTGCACCAAAAAAGACCATTTATTTAAAAAAATGAACACAGGATGACTTGGGAAATCAGATAATGAAATCAAAGAGGGGCACCTGGGTGGCTCAGTCAGTTAAGCGTCTGCCTTCGGCTCAGGTCATGATCTCAGGGTCCTGGGACTGAGTCCTGCATCGGGCTCCCTGCTCAGCGAGGAGTCTGCTTCTCCCTCTGGCCTCCCCCCTCGTGCTCTCTCTCTCAAATAAGTAAAATCTTTTTTAAAAATCTGAAAAGATCTTCAATGTCATTAAGAATTAAGGAAATGCAAATTCAAGACTTCTCTCTCCCCATAGACTGGGGAAAACACAAAATGCTTCACAACAGCAAATGTTGAAGACATAAGGAAAAATAGAGATTCTCAGAGTCCTATAGGAAACTAGTATAGTCACTCTGGAAACCCATCTGGCACCACCTGGCAGAGCTTTAACCCTGCAAATTCAGTCAGGACACCTAATTCTAGGTATGTGCCCAACAGAAACTCTTGCTAATGAACACAAGAAAATACACCAGAATGTTACCATGTGCCTGTGTATAAGAAAAAAAGGGAAACAACCTCAATATCCATCATCAGGGAACAGTCAAGGTCACAGTGGTCGGAAGAAATGAACCACATCAATGTCAGAGGCCGCGAAAGCTTTAAGGCTGAGTGAAACAGTTAAGTGTAAAATATCAATAGTATATTATGTATGTAGATTTTAAAACACTAGTAGGTGTGTAGAGGTGTAAGAAAATGTGCTGACAGCAAAATAACAACAGAGTGAAAAAGCAACTGAGGAATGGGAGAAAATATGTGCAAACCATGTATCTGATTAGAAATTCAGATCTAAAATATATAAAGACCTCACACAGCTCAAGAGAAAAAAAAAAAAAAAACGAAAACCCAAAACCCAATGGGTTTAAAATGGGCAAAGAACCTAAATTTCTCCATAAAACATATACAAATGACCAACAGGTACGTGAAAAGGTGCTCAACCTAATTAGAGAACTGCAAATAAAAACCACAATGAGCTATCACCTCACGCCTGTCAGAACGAGAATTATCAAAAAGCAAAAGATAAGTGTTGGCGAGGATGTGGAGAAAAGGGCACTGTTGGTGGGAATGCACTGTGGAAAACAGTGGGGAGGTGCCTCAAAAAGTTGAAAACAGAACTACCACATGATCCAGTAATCCCACTTCTGGTTATACTATCCACAGGAAATGAAATCACTGCCTCAAAGACAGACCAGCACTCCTATGCTCATTGCAGCATTATTCACAATAGACAAGATGTGGAAACAACTTAAGTGTCCGACTATAGATAAATGGATACAGAATGTGGTATACACACACAATGGACTACTACTCAGCCATAAAGAACGAGATCTTGCCATTTGCTACAACATGGATGAACCTGGAGGACATCGTGCTAAGTGAAATAAACCAGACACAGAAAGACAAATACTACATGATTTCACTGATATGTGGTATCCAAGAGAGTCCAAATCATAGAAGCAGAGAGTGGAATGGTTGGCTGCCAAGGTTTGAGGGTTGGGGAAAATGGAGAGAGGTCGGTCAGAGTACAAACTTTCGGCTATGCAAGATGAGTAAGTTGTGGAGATCTAATGTATAGCACTGAGACTACAGTCAACAATACTGTATTGTAACTTTGAAATTTCCTAAGAGGGTAGATCTTAAATATCCTCACCACAAAGAAAACAAAAAAAGAAAATGGTACCTATGTGAGATGATGAACATGCTAATTAGACTGAATGTGATTATTTTACAATGAACGCATATACCATAAGTGTACACCTAAAATTTATAGAATTTCTGTTTATCAATTACACCTCAATAAAAATAAACAAAAATGCTGTTGTTCAAAATAAGGGTTGCTTAGGGAAGCAAATGGGACTGGTGAGCCTGCATCTAAGAGCAATTCTGCTTCAACAGCTTTCTTTAAAAAAGTTGAGGGGGGTGCCTGGCTGGTTCAGTCAGT